AGTGTGCGGGGGGGGTGGGAAACGGGGGACACCCCTCACTCCCCCTCAATATTTGGGCAAGTTTAAAAATTACCAAACACAGAAGGAGAGCAGGACCCAAAGGAGAAGTGTGAATGAGCTTGTCAGATGGCTCTGGTGGTGTCAGCCCATGATGATTAGTATTTATATGCAGAGGGAGCTCTCCTGCACCGAGGCTGCTCCATGCATAGCAGCATGTTCCCTCCTCCTCCTCCGCGCCAAAGGGAAACGCATTTGGGGTTGGTTCTTTATTGCATTAAACATTTTTTCTTTTTTGCTTTGTTTTGTTTTACAGATGGCTTCCCAAATCATCCATCTCATCCTGGGCACCGAGAGTAAAGCCGAGACACAGGTGCAGCCCTGACCTGGTGCAAACCCCACTGGGCTTGTTGCAAGAGCTCATTCAGGGCCAGGGCTGTCCCAGTGCAGCACACAGGGAGCCTTTCCACTGGGAAACCTGCTCAGGACACCATAATAAATTAAAAAATAAGGTTATATCCAAATTGCAGCTGAGCTCCCCTGGGCAAGGAAGGGGGAGGCAGCAGCTTTCAGTGGCTGGGTGGCATTCAGGGGGTGGGTCAAAAGCCAGTACACGCTTCCCTGCTTCTCCATCAGGACCTGCTGTTGGGAACTTCAGCCCCTGCAGCCCAGCTGGTGTTAGAAGATTTTGGCTGTTGGTCTTTTTTTGGATGCTGAAGAGCTCTGGCAGGGAAGCTGTTCACCACCAAGGGAGATGTGGGATCCAGCTCTCCTCCCAGGAGCCTGGGAAATGCTGCCTTGCCCTGAGCAAGGTGTGGGAGGGATGGGGGCCCAGGATGCAGACAACCCCCATCGCCTTCCCAACCCTTCTCTTGGCTCAGCATCCTCCCACATTCCCTCCCCATGGCCACACAGGGCTTCACGCCAGCCGAGAACACAACAGCCTCAGGCAGCAGTGGTGCAGCCTTGCAAAATCATCACCAGCCATTAAAAGAAGGAAAGCTGGGCTGTGCAGGGACGTTGCCTCTCGCAGCCGGCTCTAGCTTGGGGCATCGCTGGAGGAGTCTGGCATTAAACCCTGCCAGGCCTTAAAAGGTTGGCCCAGACCCCTGGATTAAAGCATAAATGTCCTTGAGGGTGGTTGTGGGCAGCAGGCAGGCTGTGATGGTTGCTGGCTTCCAGATAGCAATGATGGAGCAATTTGCTTTGCAGCTCCTGTGCCCGTGGCTGCTAAATGCCCAAACCTGGGGAACCCAGGGGACCTCCAAAGAGCATCAGACTGTTTTAAAAATACTTTAATCTTTAGAAAATACAGCGTTCAGTACAGTGTGCTCTGCTCCCCCCAGCTTCAACCCCCCCTACCGCCCACTCCCACTCTGCCAAGGCAACATCAGCACAGTCACCAGGGCAGCAGGAAAGCGCAAAGGGCAGGTTTTACCGACCCCGTTTCCATCTTCCCAGGGAGGCAGGTGGCTCTCGAGCCCTCACTGGTACCCAGCAGCAAGGCGCTCTCCCCCCCAAAATCCTCAGTGAAGCCTAATGGGCAGTGCCAAGCTCAGGCCTTGGAGCTGGTGACAGCCCTTGGTAGCTGGGGACATGCCCAGGGGGAGGCACGCAGGGGCTGTCACGCTTCCCTGCACAAGGATTTCGGGCAGCCCATGTGATTTTTAAGACACAGGGCTGCCCCAGACCAGAGAGCCGGCAACAAACCAGGGAGGTGACAGGGGGGGCTGGGGCACATGGAGCGGGGGGACCAGGGCTCAGGGCCCCCCCAGCTTCCATCCTAAACAGCAATGGGGCTGAGTCAGGGCTGTAACAGCTCCCTCCAAGGGGAAAAGACTTACTGGGGGGGTTCAAAAAAGGGGATACAAACATCACCCAAAGGCAGTGACCTTTCTCCAGGGCCAGGATGAGCTCAGGACTGGGGGGACCTTCCACCTCCCGCCAGCTGGCTCCCCTCAGGGACAAACTCCTACCAGCAAAGCCCACCATGCAGGGAGGGGTCCTGCCTGCACCCTGAGGGGGTGCAGGATCGCTCCAGGCCTGGGGCAGAGGGGCCATGCACACCAAGAGCAGGACAAGGGAGCAAAATCTGGGGGCTGGGGGAGCAGGGAAAGAAGCATTTTCTCTTTTCAAACAGGAATCCCCAACACCATCCACTTCCCTTTGCATAGAGCAGCTTGCAGGAGAGCGCATCCTTCAGTCACCCAGGGGACACAGAGAACGGTAGCTGTGACCCTGGCAGGGACAGGAGCAAGGCTGGGGGACACGACCCTGCTGCTCCCATCCTCCTCCAGCATCCCTGGGGCTTGCACAAGGACACAGGGAAAAGAAACACCAACAACCCCAAACCCTCCCCATCGCTCTGCCCCCAGGTGCAACAAGCCATCCTGATGTTTAAAAAAGGAATGAAAAAGCAAAAAGAAGGGGGGAAAAAAAAATAGGCTGAGATAGAGGGAAAGATCCCCAGGTCAGCAGAGAGGAAGCCAGGAAGCGCCGCGGGGATGCTGTCCGTTCACTGCCCGGTCCTGCGGGATCTAACTGTCCTCACCATTCTCGCCTGGCCCCTTGATCAGCCGCTTCTGTCCCCGTTTGCCCACGGGCCCTTTGGGCTTGGCGAAGGCCTGCTTGAAGGCATGCTGCTTGGGGTGCACCTCCTCGTAGAGGAACTCTGCCGTCAGCTCGGCTCCATCGTCAATCTCGATCTGCATCCGGGAGCGGCAAGCAGGGGTTAGCAGCTCCCTGTGGTCTTGACACCCACTTTTGGGGCACCCAACTCCCCACTGAGCCCACCAGTGGGGCTGGACCGAGGCTGTGGCACAGCCCCTTGCAGATGCCTGGCATGGGTCTCTGCTCCATCACCTCCAGGTGGGCTCACACTTACCTTCTTAGCTATCTCCAGGCAAAACTCCTGCTCCACGGTGTCCAGCAACCGGCTCTTGCAGCTGGAGTAGAGCATGCGCTCCTTGATGCTGCATTTGTACCCAGGCATGGAGTAGATAAAGACTGCGAGAAGAGAGCAGGGTTTGTGGCACTGCCTGGGCTCGTGGCCAAGGAGCATCAGGCAGCCACATCCCACTCTCATCATGGCTTTTCCAGCCCCAAGAGTCCCAGTCTACTCAGCGACAGAAGGTGAGCCATCCCATCCATCACCCCTCCCCAAATCTCTCCTGGTATGCCTGCAACGCAAAGGCCACCAAACTGCCGGCGCAAATCCTCTGCGGCAGCACCCAGAGCCCTGCACCGCGCGTGGCAGCTTCTTTTGGCACCAAAGGGCTTGCCAGCACCCATCACAGGAGGACAGCAAGTGGCAACTGACTCAAGGTCCCCTGCCACACCATCCCTATCCTCATCCCCATCCCTGCTTGCTCCCAATGCAAGTGATTGTCCAGGGAGAGTGGGGACCAGCATGGACTCTAACCAGCCGTCCCCAGTGCCAGGGCACTCACCGACAGACTCCAGATAGTCTCCTTCATGTGAGTGCTTGTACAGGAAGAAATGGTAGCGAGCAGAGTCCTGCGGGATCCTCTTGGGCAAGTCAGCGATCTCCGTGGGGCTTGTGTGCACCAGGTCGATGGTCTCCCGCTCCAGATCCAGCTTCTGATGGTCAGAGGATGGGGGAGTGGACAGGAGTGAGAGGCAGCAGCAGGAGGAGAGGGGTGCAGGGGAGCCACGCGAGGGACCTACCAGCTGGATGTAGTTGATTTTCTTCTGCTTGAGCGCCTGGATGGCTTGCTGAGCATCCAGCTGCAGGGGGAAGGCCAGGCCCTGCAGGGTCTGGTGCTTGCTCTCCACGCTGATCTCCGTCTTCACCTGGGGATGGAGACCACCCCAAGTGTCAGGGCAGAGACTGGCAAAGGGTGGGGAAGGGAGAGAAAGGAAAACTGGCCGGTGCCACGGCAAAAGGCTTCTCATCCAAGGAGCCACCTGACACCTGGCTCATGGGGACCGCAGCATTAAACCACCAGGAAGTCAGCCAGGCTCAGAGCGGCGATGCTTGTCACTGTACCACCACGCCGGAACATCACCCAGCCCCACCCCTGCACCCCTGCAGCCCCGTGCCCCCCACCTTCACACCCAAAGACCATCTCAAACACGATCTTTTGCAGCGAGACCCTGGCAGGGATGCTGTGACCAACGCTGGCATGTGTCCATCTCCGATCATCTCCCACTGCAACCTGCGGGTGATGGGGAGAGCCCTGAAATCACAGTGTTCAGCTGCACAGGTTCCCATCGGTGGGGAGAGCAAGCCTCTCCTCGGTGGGCTTAACTGCAGCAGACAGGCAATCCCTGTGACGCTGGAGCTGGGGAATTGGAGATCCACAGCTCAGAAAGATCCCGGCCACTGTTTTCCCCATAACCCCTGCAAGGCAGAGGCTGCTGCCCATACCCCAAGCAAACCCTTCACTCCAGGAGACTGAACCCCACTTCAAAGAGGGAAGAGAGGTGGAGGACACATCACATCACCCCTGGTGCCCCCATCCTGAGCGGAGCTGCAACAGGGGTGTCCTGACCAGGACCAGAGGCTGCCGTGAGCTGGCAGGAGGGAAGGGGGTACAGGACACGGCAGGCGCGGCATACCTCCTTGGGATCAGGGTACTCTACCAGCAATGGGCAGCAGCAACAGCCCCCCACCATCTGCCACAGAATACAGGGAGATGGCGTCACCCCGATGGCAGAGGAGCCCATCCCACCTCCAGATCCGCACCCCCCCGGACCCCAAGATAAAAAGTCCAGCAATGCTAACCCAGGTGCTCTGCAGTGAGCACGGGTCCCTTTCCTTTGGGAGAGGTTTGGGGGATTTTGGATAAAGACAATCCAGCATTTTGTTTTGTTTTTTTTTTTTTCTTTTCCCTCCCCCTGATAGAGAAAAGGAAGAAAAATCAAGGCATGCCAAGAGAAACACAGGAGTTTTAAGCTCACATCTCAAAAAATAGCTCGGCAGCGCCAAAGTGGCCATGTTACAAGGCTGCCCTTCGTTACAGCAGCCCGGTGAGGTACCCACACGCTGGGGAGGTGATGGACCCAGGGTGCCCAGAGCAGAGCATGCAGAAAAACACTGCCAGGAGAAGGAAAACCAGGCATCAAGTGGGCAGAGCAGCCTACCATCTCAGTGCTTGAGTCCTGGGAACAGGAATCCTGCGAGCGTGGGGAGAGGAGACACACCGTCAACAGCACCCCATGCAGCGATGAAAGCGGGGGGTCTTGTTTGAAACAAGAAGGGAAGGGGGACACACGGACATGCCGGGGGGGATGGAGGCATACCATCTCTCTGCTGGAGGCCAGGGAAGGCAGGTCCTGGCAGCATGAGCAGGGAGAGCAGCAAAAAATGACACGGGAGACATCAGTGCTGGGGAGGAGCTGGAGGGAGAGCCCTGGCCCCAAGCCCTGGCAGTCCCACATGTGATGTCTCCACCGACGTCCCCATGCAGAGCCTGTCCCTGGCCCATCTCCTGCCAGCTCCCCAGCCAGGGTGGCCCTTACCCAGGATCTGGAGGAGTTCCAGCAGTCGCAGCAATAGATTTTGGGCTATCCTCTGCCAAACAGCATATACTAAAGGTTTACAGGGAAAAAAAAAATGCCCAAGTCTCTATTCATGCCAAGCATCCTGGAGGATGAACAGGGTGCTCTTAGGGAAATAATTGCTCAAGGGTCATCCAGCGCCACGTGGGCAAGAGGTCTAGCTGACCTCCAAGCTCTGCTGTCCTACCATCCCCCAGGGTGCCATGGCACCAGCAAGGGCCTGAGGGCAAGTGCGCAGGGGTTCAGAGGATGCACACAAGCTCACCTGGTCCTACCCTGTGGAGAGGTGTGGCATGAGGACATTACCACTGCCAACACCCTTCAGATCCTCATCTTTCTCCCCCTTATACACAAGGAGGCTTGGGAGGGTTATAGCAGGACCAGAGAGAGCTAAAGCTGTGACACGAAGCACACCAAAGTCCAAAAATCCCAAGAAGTGGAAAGTTGTCTTAGCAGCATCAACTCCCCCATATACTTCTGTATTTTCTACTCCTTCCCTTCTCAGAAACATTAAAAACCCAGGAGCTGTGCATGGGACAGCTAGGTCTGTGCCGCATCCCATCCTCTCAGCCCCAGTCTCGCTGGCAGCAGGCTTAGCTGGGGGTTATTTTATCTCCTTTTGTTTAGGTTAGTTTTTTCCCCCCCTTTTCCCTCATTGCTGGCACAGTGCTGACCTTGGCTAATGAGCATTTCTTTGTCTTATGGGTGAAACCTTCAGTGGGGGCTTCCGGCAAAGCCTCTGCTCTACCCACCCACCAACACACTGTGCAGCAGCTACAAATGACACCCCCTTACATGCTGCAATGGCACGGAGACCTTTAGTTCCTCTTAATTCTTCTGCCTCCTCCCCCAGCTCCAAAGCTGCCTTCCTCTCCCCCGCAGCCCCATGATGAGATACGCCTGACTTCCCTCCGTGTTTCTGAGCCTGCAATGCTTCTAGAAAGACTTCCCACTCGTGGGTGTTGAGGTAGCTCAATCCCAAATTCAAAGCCATTTCTTAGCCCACAGTCTGCTAACAACTTCCAGCTCAGTAAAGCTGGCGCCACATTTTCCATTTCTACTAAAAAAAAAAAAAATAAATAAAGCAAATGGCAAATTTTTGCAAGCTCCCACCCAGCTATCAAAAAGGGGGGTAGCTCACAACATCACCTCTGTCCATGCAATCCTAAAACCACAGAGGAAGTCTGGCTCATGCAGCCTAAAACCTGCTTTACCAAAGGATGGGCAGTCAGGGTACATGCAAACCTGAGTGCTTCCTATCTCAGTGTAAAAGGCCGCTGTGCCAGCCCTGAAGCCGCTGCCATGCAGCCATCACCTCCCCGCTCCTGGTTTGCTGCTGCCCTTCCCCTCCCACCTCTTCTCCACACTCATCTGGTGGTCAAGGAAGATCCCAGGGAGCTTCTGCCAGCCCAGAAATGCAGCCACCTTTGGGGTGAAGCCTGCAAACCTCGTCAGCATCTCAGAGGGTTGTGCATCAACAGCACTGGAGAAAAGCTGCTCCACCAGCAGCAGCTCCAGGCGAGGGGCATAGCAAAGCACTTGCGAGCTGAAGGCTTTTAAAGAAACAATGTCCCTTGTGACACTTCCAAAATCCTAACGGATTGGTTGAACCCAGGGGAATGTACAGGGTCCTGAACTGCTAGCAGGGGCATGGGCAAATATGCAGAAGTGCTGAGGTCAGGGCTTGCCTAGGGGCTGCTTCCCAGGTCACTGCCAGCCCCAACTGTTTGCTCCCACACGCTGGATCTGCTCCCCCAAATGAAACTGCAATGTGCACATACGTGCAAGGACCCTGCAGCCTGTGTGCAACTTGCGCGCATACGCAAGGACCCCGCAAGCCTGCAGGCAACGTGCAAGGCTGGAGGCATCGCTGTACCGAGCGGGATGCTGCTACAGGTTGAGAGCCGCTCCCATATAGCTCCTCTCAGTGAAAGCCCTCTGTTTTGTGTAGTTCCAGAAACTCACTTGAAGCTGCATTTACTGTAGAGTCATGTTTCCTGCCCTGAGGAGGTGAGCATGGCACCAAGCACCCGAGCCATAGCTCCCACCACCTCCTGCTCCGTGCCCAGGGCCAAGTGGGCACAGCCCCCGCACCAACACGGAGACCCTTCAGTACACCCAGCACTCGGCTCTTTCCCATCTTTAAATCCACAGGCAAAAGTATATCAATTTTCCTCTCTTTCTAAATGCCAGTGACTGCTCCCATGGCCTGGGCTGACGCAGGGGACAGCATAACTTTAAAATAACCCCAACCAAACCAAAAAGGCAGCAGCACCCTCACTGAGGCACTGCATCTCGCAAAGGCGAGGGTGGGAAGCAGAGCATGGCAGATCAACCGGAAAACAAGCACCATGAACACCAGTTACCTGGGCACTTTACCCTGCAAGACACAGCCCGAAAAAATCACCCAAAACTACTTAATTTTGCAGCACTGGCCAACTAAGGTGGCCAAACAAGCCACAGAGCCACCATGAGCACCCATCTCTCTCTTCTCCAAGCATGGGCATCACCTTGGATCCTCCTGCACAAATCCTGCTCAGCTACTCCAGGCTGGAAGCTGAGATAACCACGCTGAGACCCACGCAGTGGAGATCACCCCTTGGTGGCACCTCCCAAATGCCCCTCAATTCAGCCATCCCCAGACCTGCTCTGGCAGGTGGAAACCTCCTGCCTCATCTTTGCCATTAATTAATGCCAGACTGATTGGCTTCACATCTCCCAGGCATGTCCTGATCCATCCATGAGCCCCACAGCCCCAGCACAGGTGGAAAAGAGAGGGATACTGCTCTAGAGAGGAAGGCTTTCCACGGCATCCAAGTGAAATCCTCCCACCCCAAAAAAATACTGCTTCCAGGTGGTCTTCCCACCCAGGGAGCTGATCCCCTTCCCTGTTTTGGTGTTTCACAGCACCATGGAGGTTGGCACGAGTGCCACAAGATACCGGAGGGGGGATGATGGCGTTACAGCCTTGTCTCCCTCCAACCCTACCCCATGCCACTTCCACATCTTTTTCCAGCACAGAAGCTCCCAAATTTAGGCTAAGACTTTTATTTCTTGGGACAGCATCCTTCATATTTATAGCCACAGAGGAAGAGTATGGGAAAGGATGCTGCTGAATTCTTCCTGCCTCCCCTACAAATTCAGACTCAGCTCTGGCTTCTGCCCCAATACCTAGAGGTTAGAGACTGCTGCCTGCTTTCAGCCTCAGACTGTCTTCTGACTGCCAATTACAGCAAGTGTAAAGCAAAGGAACCCTGAGCTTATGCCCTAACAAGAGGGGAGAAAAAGAAAGAAAAAAACCAAAGAAATCTGTAAACTCCTCTTCATGCCACCAATGTGACCATGAGGATGCTTGGTCCACCTCGGCACAAGCAGGCATGGGTTAAACGCAGGAATGGGTTAAACTGCAGAGGTGCAAGAGAGCACAGTAAAAATGAGCCATCCCTTTTAGTTGGATGCTTGGAAGCTTGCTCCCACACCTCCAGCAGCAAACACATTCCTGCATCCCCAGAGGGTCTGGGGCTCCTTCTCCCTGGGCTGGCAGATACCCACCTCGTTGATGCGGATCTGCTGGAGCTCCTGCTCGGCTGCAGTCAGCGGGGCTGGGGCGGAGCAGGAGGACACGTGCTTTTGGTAACCGCTCAGGGACACGTCCTCCTGCAGAGGGACAGGGACGGGGGGAAGCATCAGGGGGTGGTCATCACTGCAGGGCTGGATGCATCCCAGCCTTGAGGCTGCGTCTGAGCAACCCAGTGGGTCTCAGGCTCTCTCCCTACCAGGGGGACCAACCCGAGCAGCGCTCTCGGATGCCTCTGTGCAAATCCCACGCTCAATTTTAAACAGTGCCCGCGACTGCCTGTGCCCGTTCAGACCACCCTGCCCTCCCCGGACACCCACGGCTGCAGCAGCACAGCTCCTCCAGCTGATTAACAGAGCTCATGAGCACAAAAGTGATGGAAAGACAGAGACCACAGCCTGGGAGCAGCAGAGAGGGGCACCGGAGCAGAAGGACAGCAGTGGGGATGCTCCCTGGCTCACATTGGCACCAGAAGCCCTAGAGCAGGGCTGATGCCCGGGAGGTCCTTGCTGTGCAGCTCCCCCTCTGAAAAGCCCGTGGAAGAGAAGGAGAAGCCCCCCGCCAAGCACTGCTGGGGAAGCTCAGCCAGAGAACCCTGGCACGGCAGCAGCTCTCACTGCTGGAGTGACACTGCCACCGCCTGGCGCTTCTTTTCCCTCTCAGAGTAAAGCTCCAGATCTTAGAGCCTTCCTCCCACCGCTTCCATGGTCTCCATCAGAGAGTGACCACAGCTGTGCAGGCAGGAGAAAGCGGCAGCGGCCACCCAGGAGACTAAAGCAGCGTGGGGACAAACCTCTGCGCTGTCCCCCCACCAAACGCCAGTGTCCCGCGTCCCACCCAGCTTCGGCACCAAGCCCGGGGTAGGCTCCCAAAGCTCAGGCTTGAACTGAAAAGGCTGCCCAGGAACCAGCACTGTACCTTCACTGTTCCAAACATCTCGTCCTTTATATGCCCCCCGCCAAACTCCTTCTTCACCGTCGCTCTGGTGGCAGCATACAGCATCTTCAGCCGGACCTGCGCGAGGAGGGAGGCGGCAAGCGCGGTCAGAGAGAGGATCCCGCACGGTGGGACCGGAGAGCAGCACCTCCGCACAAGGGGAGCCCGATGCTCGTGGCCACTGTCCCACCACCTGCTCTGCTCCCAGGGAGGGACGAGGTTTGCAACCACCTAGTTTCTATCCAGGCTGATTTCCAACCACAGCATCTCCGGGTAGGGAGCAGCCAGCAAAAGCCACCAGCACTAGTTCCAGGACTGCCGGCGTACGGTGCAGCCTTGCCAATCACTGCCTGCAATTGTTAGTTTATGCTGTGCTTTGCTTTCCCACCCCTGAGCTCCAGCGCGTCATTTCTTGCCCGCACCTGCGTAAGAGGAGGTGTAAATACCTCCGGAGCCACCTAAAAGCAGCTTTTGCCTTTCAACACTTCTTTTGCATCACTCTTCTGCAAAATGCAGGAAAAAGCTTTGGCAAGTGCTCCCTGGCACACTGTTCTTTTGCAATAAGACCCTCCACAGTTTGTTGAGAGATATAGATTAAAAAAAAAAATATTATATATACACATGTATATGTACATACACACACATGTATACACATATGAAATTACATATATATTATAATTGTATATATGTGTGTATATACATATGTGTATATATAATAATATATATTTGTTAGATATA